ATCAAATTGTTTAGATCTCTTTAAAACTGCTACTTGCCAGCTCAGTAACAACCTTTATCTCTAAGTTTGTAAAGATGTGGAATTTTTAGCGATGATATAGAGAGGTGTCAAAACATGAGCTGTTTCACAACATTTGTAACAGTTGAGCACTGATGCTTAGTCTCATGAGGCCCTAACTAAACCTAACTAAACCCGGAGATAAAGTTAAACGCCCTGATATAATACATTATACATTATACTCCCTGATATAATACATTCAGATTTTTAAAGGAATTTTGGGTTTTACTAACTTTTTACAATTTTTAGGGCTTATGTCACTGAAGATGACGGTTTGCAACATGTTTGACGATAGCCTGTAAATTGATAGTTTGATCTAAGTATTTTCATCTAGCTTGATTGATTCAAAGGGAAACAAATTCCTACATTATACAGTCAACCAATTGAAATATTTACCAATAGTTAGTGATGTTATTATTATTTCCGTCCTTATGCGGAGTATGACAACATCTTCAACTCACAGTCTCACTTATCATTAATCTCTCTATCGGTGTGTTGATAGTTTCGAACCACCTAGCAACTAGTGAAAAATCACAATGGCTACGGTTTTCGTCAAGTTGACTTTTTTATTGATTGTTTTTGAGCTGACTGCTGCAAATGACTGCAAGTGCAATCTTTCCAATAAACAAATCAAAAGTAAGGTAGAGAACTACGAAAGCAAATGTCTCAATCGTGGTAAGACTTCCCCAGCTATTAAATCATATATTTACAAGCAAAACTAGGGGGCATTTTGGCACGTAATTAAATAATTATAGACTGTTCACGACGGACTTAAAATTTGAAAGGTCATAACTCATAAATATGAACGATATGGCCTCAATTAACTAATACTAATAGTCCACACAATCAGAATCCATGGTAATGTTCAAATAAATTCCGATATTAGGTTTAGTTTTGCCTCCAAGTCCATCAGCCTTCAGTTTTACTTCTATCGAACCATTTTATTTAAAATAATACACCCAGGATTTACCTCAAACCTTGGGTGTGCTTCCTCATCTGAATTGAGATTGAACAATAAAGAAAAAAAGCAATGTTCTGCTATGGAAAGAAAACTGGAAAGCTGTAACTACAGATGCAAAGCCAAAGGTGAGTAAACTTTATCCCTTAGATTAATGGTGCAGATCATGAAAACGACGTACCTCGAATCAACCCGCTAATTGCGACGTTACTGTGTCTGTAGTTTCCACTTTTTACGGTCATCCACAAAGTACACCTAATTGTAATAGATTTTTAGTGTTGTAATTAGTTTTTTAAACTAATTGCAAATCTATTACATTTGATTTGAATGCGGGCTGAGTTGGACTCGTCGACTTTACAGGTATAATATGGGGTCCGGACTTTACGGCGCAAGACTCTACGGCATGAGACTTTACGGTGGGTTAGGGTTAGAGTTAGGGTTTGGGTTTGGGTTTGGGTTTGGGTTTGGGTTAGGGTTTGGGTTTGGGTTTGGGTTTGGGTTTGGGTTTGGGTTTGGGTTTGGGTTTGGGTTTGGGTTTGGGTTAGGGTTTGGGTTTGGGTTTGGGTTTGGGTTTGGGTTTGGGTTTGGGTTTGGGTTTGGGTTTGGGTTTGGGTTTGGGTTTGGGTTTGGGTTTGGGTTTGGGTTTGGGTTTGGGTTTGGGTTTGGGTTTGGGTTTGGGTTTGGGTTTGGGTTTGGGTTTGGGTTTGGGTTTGGGTTTGGGTTTGGGTTTGGGTTTGGGTTTGGGTTTGGGTTTGGGTTTGGGTTTGGTAAGGCCGGTTATTGTTAGGGTTAGAATAATGGTAAGGGTTAGGGTTAAGGTTAGAGTCTCACGCCGTAGAGTCTTACGCCGTAAAGTCCCGGACCCGTATAAATATAATGACCGTTGTAATGACCGCTGTAATGACCGCCAGTCTAACTTTAATTCTTTTCAGGTGTCACTGCATCTGGACCGGCTATAGCAAGCGACGGCATTGCTGCAACCCTTACTTGCAGACTGTCGGATGTCAGTGCCAGTATGAAGTTAGCCATGACTTCTGGAGCAGTCAAGTGGAAGGGTGGTGATATAAGCGGCGACGTGAGTGTCACTACCAGCGAGTATACTCTGACCAGCGGGGACTACAACACCGCTCTCCTTACACAAGTCGACACTTTCGTCATCTCCACCGCTGTCTTGGCACGGTTGAGTGGGGGGAGGCAGGTGTTCACGTGCGTGTTAACTGTGGATGCCAGTGATATGGCAAGCGATACTCATTCCATGACCGTTATATCCCCTGGTTAGGATTACTTTTTTATTTCATTATATTATCACCTTATCAATTAATTATATAATTATTTAGTTGATTTTTTATTTATTATTCCACTAATACTCAAGTAATAAGATATTTTTGTAAGATAAGATGTTTTCTTTAAATTGTTGTGAATTTATTGTTAATTATATGGTCCCCATGAATATAGTTGCCAATCAATCATATTTGAATCTTTTAAATAGGAATTATTATTGCAAACTCACTTGAAATAAATATCTTCCTGCAAAGTGTAATTGTAAACCAATGTTAACTTAAAGTGTATAATTTTAACGTTAGACTATCATTTCTACATTTTAAACATATTTCTACATTTTAAACATATTTGAATTTCTACATTTTATGTATATTTCTACATTTTAAACATATTTGTTTTCTTCAGTTATTCAGTTAAACCCAAGCATATCGTCCGGGAAAGCAACGGGAGAGAGCTTTACACTGACTTGCGAAGCGACGTACGTTGCGGGAGTGGAGTGTATCATCTCCACCTTCTGGACCAAGGACGACGGAAACGTTAATCCTACTTTAACAACTGAAACAACTTACCCCAATTATAGTAAAAAAAGAGGCAAAAGGGTACGTTTGACCTTCTTTTTACCTTCACATAATTAACATATTTACTTAAATATGCTAATTATGTTAAATATTTTTTATACAACTTTGATAAATAAAACAACTTATTCCCAATCAGGTGATGTAAACTCGACCCTCTTTTTATTCCATTTTGTTGATTAGATTTAGTAGATAAATTGATAATTGAAAATATCGCCCGTGCTCAAAATGGTGCTTCTTAAATATGTTAAATATTTTAAATATTATAAATATGCCAGGGTGGCCCAAAAGTAACTACCCACACGCAACCCTTTAATAACTCACGTAATTCGTCTTCAAATTGCACCAAAATTTCAGAGATTATAGATATGGGTCAAACGTAGATTTCCTGAAAGTTTCGTAAGACACGCCCAATTAACCATCGGACAACACCACCTAATGAACTTCATTAATACACGCTAACGTCTTACTCTTGATCAGATTGAGTGACGAGATCACTGATATGATTACCTTACTCGGGAATATTATAGCGGGTTAATTTATGACTGGGAAAATTAATGACCGGGAAAAATATGGCGGAATTTTCCAAAACCCACCAAGCATCAAAATGTATTAATATTAGTTTACCTTACTCGGGGACATTATAGCGGGTTAATTTATGACTGGGAAAATTAATGACCGGGAAAAATATGGCGGAATTTTCCAAAACCCACCACTTTATCCCAGTCATAATATTCCCGAGTAAGGTAAGTGCAAAAATCACTGACTGAGTGCTCGGATCACGTATCCGATAAATTTTGAAATGGTCATAACTCAGTTCTCATTTTATGAAGACAACAGTGAAAAAGAGGGAGTGTCACGCCACGCCCACTGTAATTGGGTGTGGCTTACGAAACTTTCAGGAAATCTAAGTTTGACCCATATCTATAATCTCTGAAATTTTGGTACAATTTGGAGACGAATTACGTGAGTTATTACAGGGTTGCGTGTGGGTAGTTACTTTTGGGCCACCCTGTATGTTAATTGTTTTAAATATTTCAGATATGCTAAATGTGTAAAAATCCTTCAGGTCAAGTCCACACTAACTGTTAGCTACATGCAAAGTACCTATTCTGGAGAATACAAATGTGGAGTTAACTACGGTGGAGATATAATCTACAGTACCGCTACCACTATCAACGTAGAAGGTAAACTATTTCCAATAATGGGTCCAAGAGGGCATTCCGCACCAATACCTGATACCTGGTCGCGTTAATTAATAGTTAACTGGGAGCTGATCGGTCAATCTCTATCATGCTTTCTAGTCAAGTTATATGCTAAACATGCTAAATACGCTAAATATGCTAAATATGCTAAATATGCTAAATATGCTAAATATGCTAAATATGATAAATATGCTAAATATGCTAAATATGCTAAATATGCTAAATATGCTAAATATGCTAAATATGCTAAATATTTTGTTCTCCCTAGGTGTACTATACTTCCCAACACACGCACTCGTGGCTAACGGGCAAGCTCTGACTATTTCAATCATCACCGTTACTGGCACGTCCGCTAAATCCGTTGCTTGGTTCAAAGACGACCTGGAGATGGTACCTACTGCTAATGCTGCGTACAATATAACAACGGTAACTAGGTGGTACCTATTGCTAATGCTGCGTACACTATCACAACGGTAACTATGTGGTAACTAGGTGGTACCTATTGCTAATGCTGCGTACACTATCACAACGGTAACTAGGTGGTAACTAGGTGGTACCTATTGTTAATGCTGCGTACACTATAACAACGGTAACTAGGTGGTAACTAGGTGGTACCTATTGCTAATGCTGCGTACACTATCACAACTGTAACTAGGTGGTAACTAGGTGGTACCTATTGCTAATGCTGCGTACACTATCACAACTGTAAATGACAGGCAGTGTTATTTTAGATTACAGATCCCAGCAAAAAATGTCATGTGGATTATTTTGTTTATCTCGATTCTATGATGTTTTGCATCTCAAATATCAAGTAGACGAATAGTTTGCCTTATTTTTAAAGTCCTATATTTCATGTTATCGACAGAATTTCCAATATTTGATAAGAAACTCCTAAAATAGACGGACACAACAGTAGACAGCAGTAAGATAACAACCTCCAAACTTGTCTGGACTGGGGTTGCTGCTACCAACCAGGACAGCACTTTGCACGTGGAACTATCCTCAGACGCGCTCTTCTTGAAGAGCGCCGACTCGCTTGTCAACGTTCTCGGTTTGTGGAAATCGTTGATTAACTACTGTCAAATGTTACATTAGAAGTAATTAATTTATCGATTACAATTAATTAATCAGAAGTAAATCCACACTCAAGTATTAATTTAACATTTCTCACCCACTCCCTCAGAGGTTTACACTCAGCCCCAGGATTACAAGATACTCCGAGGAATTGATACGTATATCTACTGTTCGTTTGAGGGACCTCCTCAACCTTCCATCACATGGCAATCCCACACGTCACTAACTTCGTGAGTTACAAAACTTATCGGCGAAGATAAGCTGTTGGTTTGTTATTCAAGTAGTGTGTGTAGAATACTACTGTAACTAGTAGTAGTAATGTGTGTAGAATACTACTGTAACTAGCAGTGTGTAGTAGTGTGTAGTACTTAATTAGAAAACTTAAATAGAAAACTCCTCAGTACGGGAACCGACGTGACAAACGGGGTTACACAGATCACAGCCCTCGAGCCAACCACTTCTCTAACCGTCTACCAAAGCAGGCTCACTGTCAACGCTGACACGTCTGCTTCTCCTTCTTATTGGTTAGTTTTCATGTGGTAACTCGGTGGTAACTCTGTGGTAACTCGGTGGTAACTATAAGTATATAGTAACTAGGTGGTAACCAGAAGTTTATGGTAACTTGGTGGTAAATTGGTGGTAACTAAAAGTATGTATATGATAACTAGGTGGTAACTAGGTGGTAACCAGAATTATGTAGTAACTTGGTGGTAACTTGGTGGTAGCTAGAAGTATATGGCCGGTAACTAGGTGGTAACTAGGTGGTAAAACAGCTGTTTTGTGCAGGAGCTGTAAAGCAACTTACCCCTCTTACTCTGGAAAGTACATTTTTACTGGCGGAGAGCTGAACACTAACGTGGCCTGTCTCACACCCATTGGTAAGTGTTTGTTGGGTGGGATAGCAACCTGGGCTACTATAAGTAGTACTAGTACATAGTGCTTGCTGGGCGGGATAGCAACCTGGGCTACTATAAGTAGTACTAGTACATAGTAGGTATGGTTACATTCGGCTGGTATCATCTAATAATAGATTAATAAATTAGGCGATAATAAACTTTCATTATCCTTACAATAATCACCTCTCCGACCTTGTGGCTTGTGATCACGTGTCCCCAATCAGGTGTTACTGCGGTGTATGGGCCCACTACCCTGACTGTTGGTGCTACTGCCACCTTTACTGCTAAAGCGGACAGTCCTCCTAAACCACAATTTAATTGGAAGTTTAACGGCTATAAAGTATCTATTAAAAAAAAGAAGAAAAAAAAATGGACCACCCAACTCTCTTCTACTGAGGTGAGGGCTTAGGCCTTAGGTTAGAGATGGAGGGGGGGGAGTTCTCTATTGGGGGACCGGGGTTATGCACTCTATTGGGGGGAAGCGGGCGGGGCGGGGTAGGTACTCTATTGGGGGAAGCGGGCGGGGCGGGGTAGATACTCTATCGGGGGGAAGCGGGCGGGGCGGGGTATGTACTCTATTGGGGGGAAGCGGGCGGGGCGGGGTAGGTACTCTATTGGGGGAAGCGGGCGGGGCGGGGTAGGTACTCTATGGGGGGAAGCGGGCGGGGCGGGGTAGGTACTCTATTGGGGGGAAGCGGGCGGGGCGGGGTAGGTACTCTATTGGGGGGAAGCGGGCGGGGCGGGGTAGGTACTCTATTGGGGGGAAGCGGGCGGGGCGGGGTAGGTACTCTATTGGGGGGAAGCGGGCGGGGCGGGGTAGGTACTCTATTAGGGGGAAGGGGCCGGGCCGCGGGGGTATGGTACTCTATTAGGGTAGGGGCGGGGCGGGGTAGGTACTCTATTAGGGGGGCTAGTGGTAGGTACTCCATTAGAAGAATAAACGTATTCTGGGACGGTATTATTTATCGTATTTTTATTGAACAATACTTTAGATTATTTTAATGTATGAAGCTCTTCATTATGTCTAGTTTTTATAACATTATTACTGACCGACCTTTATGTTCAGTACCAGTATGTTTACATTAAAAAGAGCATGAGTGTAACGGATACTGGAGCTTATGGTGCTCTGGCAGTTTACTCAGACTACGGAAAATCATCACTGGTGACAGTCAATACTAACGTAGTCAGTAAGTACATGTTAAATATCTTAATAATCTTAATGATCTTAGTTAAACTTTCTAAATATGCCAAATATGCTACAATTTATTCACATATAATTAGACATTAACTCCATTATCTCACTCTAACTCCAACTCTCTCTCAGATGCATGTGCTCGACTTGCAGCCCCGGATAACGGAGAATTAGTATGTGATCCAACATCCTTCTCTACATCTGCAAACGCCATCGGCTCCTCAGTCACTGAAACCATGGTCACGTGTACAGTTTCGTGCAATAGTGGGTACAAGGTTAGTGTGCCAAATTTACTGGCTTTTTGCCAAATATTTTGTTCGCATTTCATTGTTGCTCTTTTTCCTGTGAGCTTTAACTACAGTAAACACGTTCACAACATATTTAGTGATGATATCATAACATTTAATTAATTATTTGGTTATTATTATTTAGTTAAAATTATTATTAGTTATATTTTTTATGTTTTAATTTTGTCTTAGCCTTATATTGAGTTATACTCTTGTTCATTTTACACATTTGCTCACATCACTCACAGTCAGCCACTCTGACATGGTTAACCACCTTCCTTGTGTTGTTGGTTAATCATATGAGCGGGATATAAATATTTCATTTCATTTCGTTTCATATTATAACACTCCAAATATTTCAGCTCCAGAATTCCCAGACCACCTTTACTTGTACGGACGGAACATGGGAACAGAACAGTATAGTCAACCCTTTCAACAACGTGAACAAATGTCTCAGTAAGTTATTGAAAATTTTTCCGAAACTCATCTCCTTGCAGAATAAATTTGCTGTGTCTAACATACCTAACATACCTAACATACCTAACATACCTAACATACCTAACATACCTAACATACCTAACATACCTAACATACCTAACATACCTAACATACCTAACATACCTAACATACCTAACATACCTAACATACCTAACATACCTAACATACCTAACATACCTAACATACCTAACATACCTAACATACCTAACATACCTAACATACCTAACATACCTAACATACCTAACATACCTAACATACCTAACATACCTAACATACCTAACATACCTAACATACCTAACATACCTAACATACCTAACATACCTAACATACCTAACATACCTAACATACCTAACATACCTAACATACCTAACATACCTAACATACCTAACATACCTAACATACCTAACATACCTAACATACCTAACATACCTAACATACCTAACATACCTAACATACCTAACATACCTAACATACCTAACATACCTAACATACCTAACATACCTAACATACCTAACATACCTAACATACCTAACAGTAACATACCTAACATACCTAACATATCTAACATACCTAACATACCTAACATACCTAACATACCTAACATACCTAACATACCTAACATACCTAACATACCTAACATACCTAACATACCTAACATACCTAACATACCTAACATACCTAACATACCTAACATACCTAACATACCTAACATACCTAACATACCTAACATACCTAACATACCTAACATACCTAACATACCTAACATACCTAACATACCTAACATACCTAACATACCTAACATACCTAACATACCTAACATACCTAACATACCTAACATACCTAACATACCTAACATACCTAACATACCTAACATACCTAACATACCTAACATACCTAACATACCTAACATACCTAACATAACATTAAGTGGGCAATTCCAGTCCAAACCCTGGAAACATGACATAAAAGATTCGTTTTTACTTGTTTGAATGAAAAGCACTAATACCTAACATACCTAACATACCTAACATACCTAACATACCTAACATACCTAACATACCTAACATACCTAAGATACCTAACATACCTAAGTAGGGTATAGATAAGGGTTCTGTATGGAGGCGAGGACAATTAATTGAATCATCGTAATTGAATAAACTAAGGCAATGTTAATTGAATCATACACTCGTAATTGAATAAACTAAGGCAATGTTAATTGAATCATACACTCGTAATTGAATAATGTGATACTATCTGACAAAGTTAATTGATTCATACACTAGTAATTGAATAATGTGATACTAGCTGACATTGTTAATTGATTCATACACTAGTAATTGAACAATGTGATACTGGCTGACAAAGTTAATTGATTCATACACTAGTAATTGAATAATGTGATACTAGCTGGCATTGTTAATTGATTCATACACTAGTAATTGAACAATGTGACACTAGCTAGCCAATATGAATGGATAACGTCTGTCACGTGACTTGTAAGGGTGTTTGATATTCTTCTTATCAAATTATTAATGTTATTGTTTACGTCACGTGATTTGCTAGTGTAGATGAAGTTCTGTACGTGATCAAATTAATGTTATCGTTTACGTGTGATGATTATATTTGTTACATTGAAGTTGAGTAGTGAATGAGACACGTGATTTTAGAGATAAAACACCATGTACTTTGAGTTAACCTGTGTTGACGTATCGAATTAACATACTTAAGTAGATTCTGCAAAGTTGCACTGTATTTGATATACTAACGTTCTGTAGCTCTAGATCTAACTCTCACCGAGTTGTAATACTGTGATTACACATGATCATACAGTGTTCTGCAAAAACAAATATGTATTCTGTAATTGAATAGCAGTGAATTGCTGTCAAATAGTGCTTCTGCTTCCTTTATTTCGTCTGCAAGTTGGCTCTCGTTTAAGCTGACCATCTTTGACAGTAGATACTTTCATTTAGACAAATAAAACAGGTATAGAGATCTTACAAATGAATTAAACAATTGGTGAAACTACATTATATAAATATAACATGATCGATTCGAATATAAGTTTCTGAAATGATGTCAGAACATATACCTACAACTAAGGTTTTTCTTTCTGGATGACAAGGATGCCAGCAACGGTGCCTCTCAAAGTCTCAATTTAGAAAGCAGGTCTTGAAAAAGTTGACCTCTACTTGATAAAAGCAGATCTTGCCCATGTCAAAATGAATATTATATGCAGCGAAATGTGATATTTTGAAGTCAAACATGACTGTTGGCACTCATTTTTTGTCACGGCAAAGGTGTCATAAAATTCGTGTTTAATACCACTTTAATGAAATATATTTGCCATTGACTTGATATTGGGTGCATAACAAGCGATTTACAGCAACAATAGAAAATGGGAGGTCCTATTCTAAAAGTCACAGCATCCTTGGTTGGGTCTAGTCAGTCAGCACCCCTGGGTGGGCCTGTAACATTTCAAAAAGAAAAAAACCTTACCTAAAACACTCAATTCAAAATATATTTACTAAAGTCCAAAGAACTTATTTCTAGCTGAATCAGTATTCTTTCTTTTAGATGTAGGGTTGACATAGACTGACACTGAGTCACTATCCATGTCGGTTGCTACGTCGTTATCCGAATCTGAAATCCTGTTAGATAATTTGATTGTGTTCAGCTGAGTAGATGCTGTTTCATTTATTTCATCTTTATCAGCTATAAGTTTTTGAAACTGTCTTAGCACTTTTTCATGTTTATTGATTGTCCATTCCATTTCTTCGTAGAAATCTCGTAGCTGATAAATGGCTGTTTGTAAATTCTCAATAGACGCATCGTGGTTATCTATATCATTTGGATCATGATCATGGATAAGAGGGTTTTCCGATGGTATACTGCATTGTATTTGTTCGTCAATATTTTCCGCTTCCGAATTGCTGCTAGATAAACTTGACGCATAAGGATGTACTCTGTAACGATGACTAGCCAAGCTTGAGGACGTTTTGTAACTTTTGTTGCACTTCCGACATTGGTGTTTTCGTGATTCCAATTCCATATATTAATGATTCGTCAAAACTTGCTGACTTTTTTTTGGACAAAACTAGTTAAATGCAGGCAATGTATGCTCTTGCTAACAATTAAAACAGATCAATTTTGTATAAGATTCGTTGTATTTATAGCTTTAAAAAAGATGTTATCCAAGAAAACAGATAATAACACAACATCACAATATTATATGATCATAATATAGTCGTCATATGATCATCAAATGATTTTCCTACTCAACAATTTTGATGACTTAACTAATGGTGATATCATCACATTTTTATAATGATATGATCATCATATTATA